TACGACCCAGCTAATGAAACAATGTGCTTAGCAACCTCAACTTCCATAAAAACACTAAATATTGGTGATTGCTGAGCAGCTAGTGATTTGATTACATTCACACATCACAAATAAAACAATATCCAAACTGTATGTGAATATGTAATATTAATTTGTGTTGAGATGTGTAAATACCTCATGTATATTTTATGCTTTACACAGGCTTATCTCACAAGGCTACAAAAATTAAGTGCTAATTCAACTTCTGAAGAAAGTGTCAAGAGGATCTGGGGAATGTTTAAGAACATTTTTGTTCCTAGGATATCTCACAATTGAGAAAGAAGGCAACAGTCATTAAAAAAAGAGTATCCACTTAATGGGAAATTAAAAGCAGACATAATAAATGGAAAAATAAAGACATTGACAGTAAGAAGTAAAAACATGCAAAAAATTGATGAAAAGAGCAAATGAACACAAGGGGACATCAATGGCTTGTAGCATTAAGAACAGTAAGAAAGAGTTTGAAAATATATCAATAACAAAAGTAATCCTGACAATGGTATTGGATCATTACTAGCTGAAGATGGTAGAAGTATCAATAAACCTGAAATGAAGCATAGTTGTTCACTAAATACTTTTGTGCTGCATTTGTGGGGAAAAAAAGGGCAATGTTATTCATATCACACAGTAATAATGAAATAATTTCCATTCCAGTATTGACTTAAAGGTTGTTAAGTAGCAGCTACTGAGCTAGAATCTGACATGTTTAAATCAGTGACTCTGAGTAAGTCACATACGAAAAAGCTGGCTGAGAAACATCATGGAATATTTATGTTGACTTGCACTAAGTTTGGGACTTGCAGGCCAAGTTTCAGTGGCCTGCAAAAAGCAAAAGGGGAGGAAACTAGAAGGCATTAGTGTAAAAAAATCCCTCCCATCAACAAGAAGGACATTCCTACAGTTACTGAAGAATTATTTCAAGTCCTTTTTGAGGCCCCAGTCTGTATAAAGAATGTTCACCTCTCATGAGGAAGCAGATAAGCAAAATGAGCGCAGAAATTTGTCACACTATGATGGAAGCCCAAACAGCCCATATCCATGTGTGCTTCTGCCAATATCCATTTTCCCCAGAAAATCTGAAAACAAATTCATGTTTTTCCCATACTCCAGATGCTGAGCATATGCAAAGAATGAAGAAAAGATGAGCTGGGTGAAGTCTTGAGAAGTATGCGCACAACAACTAGGTTTTGCAGGATTCTCTGATGCTCTGTCACTGTTAATTTTATAAAACTTGACCAATGCATAGAGGGAATTCTGCATGGTGACTTTGCAAGTCTTGTCTGATATGATAGAACCGAATTTGACTATGGATGTTGCCTTATCCATGCAGAAATAAGTAAATGAATCCTGACAGGTCCCGGAAGTTTCAGTCCTGCAAGAATGCACAGATGAGAAATGCAAACTGAAAGGTAATTTGAAAATGCTCTTTAGGACACAGGCTGATCTAATGTTGATGGCAAAAGGAAGAAGAAAGAAGTATGACCGCCTCCTTCAGAAGATGATGAAAAGAATATCACTTATGAAATGAGCAAAGGAAAGGAGGTTTAATGGCAGGATGAATGACTGCTTAGACTACACACAACATTGCAGAAGAACTTTGGATGAATACACAAAAGCCTTCTTTATGCCCATAAAAGGTACTGTAGTCTGAACTGGCTGAACTCATTGATTCTAACAAGGGGTTGTGAGTGCCATCAGAATATTATACAGTGTAAGACAGCTGAATTTTCACAGGTCAGGCTCAAGGGACTGAAATACTATCTCAATACATTCCTCACTATCTGAATATATTCCTAAAATTTTGTAGTGTAATGTTGTACAAATTTAAGTAAAGAATGAAAACAGAATATCAATGATCAGTCCGATCAGAGAGACATGTCCACGCCCTCCCAGATCAAACCAGCAGCCAGAGAGAGGTAGGTGGTTCCCTTACTCAAAATGAAATCCTTTGTAGGATTCAACGTATGCCTAACCACCTATGTGATACGATCCAAAGAACAGACGACAGCAGCCTGGTATAGTTAGTTTGATGAAGAAGTGGCCTTCAAGTTGTTCACAAAGAACTTAGGAAAGAAAAGCCAACTAGATGAAGCCAAACATACCATATGTGTGCAAAACAAACAAACAAACAAAACGTACTGGGTTTCTTCAAGCTAGGAGGGGAAAAAAAAGGGAGATCCAAAGCTACTGACATTGAAGACACCTCCTTCCTCCTCAGTGGAGTAAAGGAGAGATAAAAGTATATTTTAAAAGCCGATGGTACTTGCTTTCTTTGGCAAGTCCTTCCTGTCCATAGCCATGAGAGGCCAGGTTTCAGTACAGCTGCTGCCTATTTGTTACCTGATTTGGGAGCTTTTGTCCAGGCAGTATTGATTCAATATGACTGTAGTTCAGACACAATACCTGTAAAAAGGAAACATAATTAATCAAACAGAATGTTTCTCTGCTAACACATCAGCAAAACTGCCAATTACATTTTTCTGATTCAGAAATTTGATCTTTAGAAAGATGATTGGTCAGTTTAAAGTGCTTCAAAAAGTTTGGTGAAATTCATTGATTTTTGGATCAGATTACTGCAACAATACTGTGAAATTGAAACAGTGGTTGCAATCAGCTTTGTGCTGATTGATTGCTGTTGTTCCAAAACCCCACGAACAACAGGATAGTAAAGGAGATTAAAGACCGTATTTTCAACCAAAGGAAATTAGTTTATCATTAATATTATTACGAAAAATAGAAAAGACTGTGTCATGAACCCACCTTAGCATTAGGAAGGAAGATTAAACCACTGAAAGACATGAGATTATTGTTCTGTAAATTCATGCCACAGACATTTCTAAACTGGTCTGCTAGCACCAGCTCTACAGCGCTGAATTAGGTAAAAAAGGACAAATATGGATTTAGAATACAAATAACATAGAAAAATAATATAGAAATGAGATATATAGCATGAGAAGATCCATAACATGCTGGCTTTGGGGTAAGAAATGCAACATGCTCCTATGAAAGAAGCACCCTAATGAAAATCTCACAACAAATTCACAGTTCTTTTTCCAGGAGTAAACAGTTGATTTGATTCTGACACCAAAGGCAAGGGCTTTCAACAGTCTGCTCTGTTTGCTTCTATATCACATTACTGAAATTCCAGTTCTGTACCTCTTAGGCTGTTTTCATTGCTTTCCAGCAGCACTGGAGCTGCAAGTGCTCAGATGGAGTACTCCATTCTCCACTTACTCTGAGGCCTGCCAAAGCAGCACACAGATTGTAATTGTGTACCTCAGCTGTGTCAAAGCCTGCTTGCAAGGTACTTGTTACTTCTTAATGGTAGAAGCAGGATGCTCTATTGGTCAGAGAGACACTCCTCAAGTAATTTTTAGGAATTCGTAACTGTGCTGCTGATACATCTCTTCAAGAAATTCAAGGCTTGCAATTGTAATACCTTAAAAGACACATAGTCAGTGTTATACTGTTGTTCTACTACCTTTTACAACAAAGCCTCCAGGGAATGAATGTCCTTGCAGAAAATAATCCCGACAAGAATGTTTAAATACTTGTATCTGTCCTCATGTCTTAAAGCAGTCTCTTGAAACTGAGTCAAACTAAAAGGAGTTACAATTTCTTTATGAGCAACACCTACTCAATTCCACTAGAGTATTGACACTGATATTCCTGTCACGGTGATACTGTTGCTGAAGGCCTTCTAGGCTATTTAAGATCAAAAGATGAAGATCGTGGACTGTGCCATTAAAGTTGTCTTCATATGTTACATCAGGTAGGGACTTTCACTGACAGATGCAGGATACTGGGAAAGAATAAAATATAAATATGTCTCTAAGAAGACAAATACATACATACAACCTATAGAAATGCTTTCCTAAAAATTAATATTGGGGGTGATGTCTGCAAACAAGTATGACAAGTGCTGTGTAAAATACTTTTGTGGCAGAACAGTGAGTGTCCCACTGGGTGCACATACTAGTGTTCAGTTAAGGACGCACTTAATGCAACCAATCACAGGTCATTCTTGCTCTAAATTCCTGTAGATCTACAGTAGACAAGGCAGCTTTTTCAGAAATCAAAAGATTGCAGAAGCAGCACTGCACACACATACATGTCTGTTCTCACTTTGGCCGAATTTGTTCTGAAAGGAATCAGATCAGATGGGTTTTGATCAAATAAAATCTCTCTTCTAGATATACTTGGTCTGGAGCCAGACATTTTCTGTCAAACTGTGTGCAGGCAGCACCACTCCCTAAATGAAGAATGGAAGCATCTAGAGAAAGAATATTTCTTCAATGAAACTGCGGAAAATAACCCTTTGTGATGAAAAATTAGACTTATTTTATGGATCAGTCAAGGGAATTTGGCTGACAAATGCTAGGGAATTATCAGGCATATTTGCTAAATACAGATTCTAGCTTTAGATTTTCATGTTCTATCCACAATATTAGATGCTACTTTTAATCGATAATGCAATTCTGAAAATCACTGCACCTGATTAGAAGCTGTCCAATTTAATTCTTGCATTTCTGTGAAGTCTGAATGTCCCAGTCTATCTGCAATCATGTCAGAGGTGAGTTTGCCTCCAAGCAAATTTTTTGCACCTTCTCCTTCTGTTGGCTCCTTTTAAATGCTTTTGAAGTGATGTCTGCTATATTAATGCAGGTCTAGAACTATCATAGTAATATAGACAGAAAAACATTTTACAATTCAATGAATTAAAAATGTTTAAAATCAAAGTAATTTAAAAAGTGTTATTTTGTCTTTATATGAGCAGACCTGGATGACTGTTTTCTTATGGAACAGATTAATGGAGATAGTCTGTGTTCTCTCAGTTTACAATATAAATTTGTAAGTAATGTACACTAATTTCATAGGTGTTAGAAATGATTAAGCTCCAAAATTATAGTTAAAGCCTCGGGAACCCTAGCAATGTGCCAGGACACTATTGTGCTAGGCACTATTACAAAAAAAGGCAATTTCTACCCCAAAATGACTAAAGAGAGACAAAAACAGACAATGGAGTTGTCTGTATACGAAGAGATTACACACATATTAACAAGTCTGATCAGCTGGGTCTTGATTTGTTAAAGAGCTATTTTGCCTCAGGAACCTAGCAATGTGCCAGGACACTATTGTGCTAGGCACTATTACAAAAAAAGGTTCTACCCCAAAATGACTAACTAA